TTTTTGTTGTAGTCGGAATTTTAAGTCCGATTTCGGTTTCGTAAAAATTTTATTTGCTTGGTTTTTCTAACATGTTTCAAAATCATTATTAAGAGTTAAAAATTTTCAGATTTTTAAAAGGGATAAGAATGCCAAGAGAAATAGAATGAAAATCCGAAATTTTTAGAATTTTCGATTTTTCGGTAACCGTTCGTTTTAAGTCAGAATTCGATTCCGTAAATTCTATATTTTTCATTAGAGAAAAAATCTTTTTCACCCCATTACAAAGATACATTAAGTTTTTCACACCGCCCACTAACAATTTAAACTTTTTCACCCCGGGAAGTGTGAAGGTTATTCGAATGGACTGCATAACTGTCGCATATCAATTGCATAACTGTCGTATATTCATCGCGCAATGCCTTCTCACTTTAACTTTTTCCACCCCAGAAAGTGTGAAGGGATATGCGAATGCCTTCGCACTTTTGACTTTCGCACAATGTCATCGCCCAACTATCGCATATTCATCGCACAATGCATTTCACACTTTCTGGGGTGAAAAAATTAACTTATCTATGGGTGGTGTGAAAAACTTAATATATTTCCATAGTCGGCTGAAAAAGAGTATTTTCTCTTTTTCATTAAGTCACGAATTTTATAATGGAGATCAGATTAGGATTACATGATGGCCTTTTCTAAGCATTGACTATAGATTGGAGAAATTTACAAGTTATGAATTCCATTTATTATATTTATTTATTTTATCAAATTTTTCTTAGTATTTTTAAGTAATAAATGAGCCATTTTAGCTGAGTTTCGAGCCATATTAAGGTCTGGTCAAAGGGAGGAGTTTTTGCCTTGATATATACAAGAGAAATCATATATTACAAGTACTTATCAAAGGTTACTCACATTGTGCAAGATTTTAGACAAACATTAATGATAAGGGCCCTAAGATGTTGTTTATGGTAGAGTGGATGTAAAGAATGTGATGTTGTCTCCTTTGCTACTCTATATAGAGGGGCATCAACATAGACTCGAAATTCACACCATAATAAGTAAAGTTTTAGCTATAGGTAAGGTAGATTAACTGAGAGAAATATTGCCGAAGATAGGTTGAGATCAACTTCTAGAGTTTCATTTTTAAATTTCTTGAAGGAGGTTAGATGCTACCTTTTTATCATGTATTGTAGTTGAGATCAAGTGTATCATGATGTATTTACATGTCATATATATTTAATTTTTATGAATTTTTAGGCATGAAAAATGATAAGTTGTTTCCAGCTCAATCACGTGTTATATATGTTCTGTTTTGATTTGAATTTTAGCATGATATGAATAACCTGGGAAAGTATATTTTATATGGTTATTTTTTGTGTGAATGGTGAGTACATAGGAACAAGAATTATGTCATTTGATTAAGTATAGCTCGAATTATAGATTTTTAAAGTTTATCATGCAAATCGAGTTTTTATGTCAAGTTTCAGCTGCTTATTTTAAACTCGAATAAGTCAATCTATGTGCATGAGAAAAATGTGAAATTATAATGACATGTACATCTATATGTTGAGAGTTTACCTGTCAAATTTCAGAATTTTATAATGAGAAATGAATGGGTTAAAAATGATAAATCCCATGCCTGTCAGATTGATTTTATATGCGATAGAACTCACTCCACATTCAAGCTTTTGATGTAAAACTTTTTGAATATTTCTTGTATGAGTATTTGTCAAGATGACCAAGTTTCAGCTTGATATGATAATTATGTGAATTTATAAAATTCTTTGAAGTTAGGCGTAAAATTAGCATAATTATATGTTAATTTTAGTATTTGGGTGGATTGAGCTATGGAAGTGCTTTTGAGCTAAAATTTGATCAGAGAGTATATGAATATGTCTACTATTTAACTGCCACGTTTCATAATTTTTAGAGTTATATGTGATTTTTGAGAAAAGATACTTAGATATATTTGCTTGTATATGTTGGTAGTTGTGGAGAGTCGAGCCTCCAACAGCTATATCAGTTATTCAGCACTTGCAAAGTCTTTTCAACATATCAGGTGGGAGACCTGCACTTGGTATTACATCACTTATAATCTTGTACAATGTATGAGGTACGTATGTAGATAATTTAACCGAATGATGAAGCTATTCTGTTCGTGGTCCAGTTTAAGATGACTCGGTCTTGTATGGAAGTTTTTCCATCTTGAGTCACTCGTCCAGTCAAGACTGGGTTTCTGGGGAGGCAACCCCGAGAATATGATCATGTGAGAACCGACCAGTTACCGAGAATTGCATCAGTAAAGTTCAGAGCAATTTTATTTATATATATATATACTTAGTTCATGATATTGGATTATATGTGTTGTTTATTCAGTGTTGGTTTTTATGGAGCATAGTGGTTTTGCTCATGCCCCCATTATGTTTTTCAAGTGATGGAGTTCAACATGGAGCGTGAGCCGAGCAGTAGTGTGGTGATGTTCGAATAAAGCTGGATATTTATTATGTTTGTGTTTAAGTTAGTTTATTAAATATATACGACTATATTTTAATTATGTTTCCGTACGGATAAACCAGAACCAGAAAGTATGTATGTATAATTATTCCTTATTCATATTCTCTATCTAGATTTTATATTGATACATTTATGAGTAAAAGAAAGAATGAGTAAGAAGTTAAGTTACTAAGCAAGTAACATCCCACAAAGTTAAGTTTCAGTATTTTCGAAAATAGTATCTTTCGAAAACAATCAGAAAAAAAAAAAAAAAATTTAAACATATTTTTTTCAAGTTATATAAGGTGGGGTGTTACAGTTTGGTATCAGAGCCCAGTTAGAGATTCTGTAGACCAAAAGTTAGTCAAGTAACCACACCACGCTCATGCCCGCGCTGACTCCGAGGTAAGTCACCTAAACAAGTCTTTATTTTTGCAAGTGCTTTATATATTCAGTATGAGAATTTCAGAGGCCTAGAAAAACTATCCTCCTATGAGAATGAGAACTCTAGTCAAAGTCAGAACTCCAATTTGAATCAGAACTCTAGACAATTTAGGTTGTATTATTGTTAATATTTCATCTCTTCTACCAAACTCCTTCAAGTGTTAACCCTGTCATCTGGCCATTCAGATGGCTAATCGCAGAAATACCCCAGTCCAGCCAGTTGTAGCCCCTTTAGTAGCTTCCGAGCCAAGTCAGGGATAGCTAGTTGCATAGTTTCGAGGGTATCACCTGACGACATTTAATGGACAAGGAGATCCTAAACAAGTTTAGGAATGGCTGCGCAACCTTGATCTTATTTTCAAGGTCATGGGTTGCCCAGAGCCAGTCAAGATCACGTGTGGGCAGTTCCAGTTGACAGGGGATGCTGGACTTTGGTGGACTGCTTACTGAGAAGATAAATCTCACATGGGAGCGGATGAAGGAGATAGTTCGGGAGAAGTATTACCCTGATCACTACTGGGATAGGATGGAGATGTTGTTCCTGAGTTTGGAGCAAGGTGGACGGACTGTTGACGAGTACGAGCGCGAGTTCACTCGCCTTGGATTCTTCGTGCCATATCTTATTGACACGGAGAAAAAGAGGACGAGGCGTTTCCGGGGAGGCCTACATGGAGAGATCCGTCATACTATCATTGCCATGGGTGCCATGTCATATGCTGAGACAGTCTCTCGAGCCCAGCAGATGGCCGAGAGCTTGATGGTGGAGGCCAGCCGAGTTTGTGTTCCAGTTAGGCAGCCAGTCCAGCCACTGGCATTACCAGCTCTTCCAGCCCCACCACAGTTATCGCCACTACAGCAGGCGCAACCTCAGCAGGCACGACGACCCAACAAGAGAAAGTGGAAGAGTCGTAATGATAGAAATAATAAACAGAGAGTTCCAGCACTAGCCCCAGCTCAGGCTGTGCAACCTATCTGTCAGGTTGTACCACCATGCGTCACCTGCTGCCATCATCACCGCTGAGAGTGCCTGGCTGGGTAGAATGTGTGCTATCATTGCCGTAAACCTAGCCACATAATTACTGATTGCCCAGACCGCCTTCAGAACTAGCAGGGTCAGCGTCAGCCTGCTCAGAACCAACCACGAGGTGAACTTGCACATATCTTTGCCCTTAACCATGCGGAGGTAACTGAGCAGGCAGCTACGATGTCTGGAATGATTTCATTATTCAACATCCCAGTCTTTGCCTTATTTGACACTGGGGCGACTCATTCATTCGTCTCAAACAAGTGTCTAGAAGTGGTAAAGGTCTAGAGAGTGAGTACTGTCGACCCCTTGAGATCAGTCTAGCCTCAGGGAGGAAGATAGTGACGCACTCCTTAGCTAAGAACCTTAGTATTGGCATAGGCGGCAAAACTCTAGAGGCCAATGTATTTGTGATCGAGATGAGAGACTTTGATCTCATACTCGGTATAGATTGGCTAGAAAAGTATCAGGCGGACATTAGGTGTCGCGACAGAGAAGTGACTCTTAATTTGGCCGAGGGAGAGTACATCATGTTTTCGGGACGAAGGCGAGAACCTTATCACGTGTCGTCTTTACGATCGATCTGGTGCCAGGGGCAGGACCAGTATCGAAGGCACCGTATCAAATGGCCCCGAAAGAGCTTCAGGAGCTGAAGTCTTAGATCCAGGAGCTACTCAAGCTCGGTTTCATTCGGCCGAGTGTTTGACCCTGAGGAGCACCTGTCCTCTTTGTCAAGAAGAAGGACGGGACCTTACGCATGTGCATCGACTACCGGGATCTAAACCAGTTGATAGTGAAAAACAAGTATCCACTTCCCAGGATAGAGGACTTGTTTGATCAGCTGAAGGGAGCCAGAGTGTT